CAGGCGGACTCTCAACCACTGCGCCACCAGGGAAGCCCCTAAGGTTGCATATTTTTAACAAGTACTGAGTGATTATCTTCAGGAAAGCTTAAAAAACACTGCTGAGTTATTATTGTTCTTTGCAGTCCTGTTTTCTTTGCTTAGAACCCTTTCGAGCCCCCACCCCTTTAACTGGATTCGGCCTTCAGGTTTCAGCTTCCATGGCACTGTCCTGTCCTCTTTCCTGCCCACCAGGACACTGGCTCACTCCACGGGTGACAATTGCCCTCAGGCTCACTGAGGCGAGGCGGGGCTGGTCCCTGGGTCCCCCACTGCCTCCCTCCCCTCTAGGTGGGCTCCGTGGAAGAGTTTCAAGGCCATCCCCCCCCCTCTAGGTGGGCTCCGTGGAAGAGTTTCAAGGCCAGGAGCGCAGCGTCATCCTCATCTCCACCGTGCGGAGCAGCCAGAGCTTTGTGCAGCTGGATCTGGACTTTAACCTGGGTTTCCTCAAGAACCCCAAGGTTCGGGGGCTGGGGGGTGGCAGGGACTCCTCCTTCCTGAGGGCTCTTCCCTGCTGTAACCCCAGCACTTCTTCTTATCAGAGGTTCAACGTGGCTGTGACCCGGGCCAAGGCTTTGCTCATCGTGGTGGGCAACCCGCTCCTGCTGGGCCACGACCCCGACTGGAAAGTGTGAGCATCCCACCCGCAATCCCTCCTGGTTGTCACAGCCCCCAGCCTAGGACAGCTGTAGTTTTATGAAGCACCCTTGGGGCTCAGTGAATCTTCCAATCTGTTTATCTTTTTTTTTTTGTGGTATGTGGGCCTCTCAGTGCTGTGGCCTCTCCCGTTGCGGAGCACAGGCTCCGGATGCGCAGGCTCAGTGGCCATGGCTCACGGGCCCAGCCGCTCCGTGGCATGTGGGATCCTCCCGGACCGGGGCACGAACCCGCATCCCCTGCATCAGCAGGCGGACTCTCAACCACTGAGCCACCAGGGAAGCCCCAGTCTGTTTATCTTAACGATATCCCCATTTGCCAAGGTTAAGTAACTTGCCCCAAGGCACAGGTCCCCGTGTGCAGGACCAAGGCTGGGCCTCCAGCCTCTGCTGGTACTCAGCCAGCCTTGTGCAGCTGTGTGTGTGAATGTCCCTGTACCCCACAGATTCCTAGAGTTCTGTAAAGAAAACGGGGGGTATACCGGGTGCCCCTTCCCTGCCAAACTGGACCTGCAGCAGGGGCAGAACTTACTCCAGGGTCTGAGCAAACTCAGCCCCTCTACCTCAGGTATGGCTGGGCCAGGGTGGGCTAGGTTGGGGGACAGTGCTGAGGGAGGATGTAAGTTACTAACAGAGGCTTCCTCTCTTTATAGGACCCAAAAGTCACGACTGCCAGGCGCGGGAGGGTGAAGGGGGCCTGCCCCTGCAAGTGGAGCCCGAGTGGAGGAATGAGCTCTGAGGACCGCCCACCCGACCCTTCCCCTGCTGCTAACATCAAGCTGCTAACAATTGGGGGAAGGGGGAGGAAGTAAAACTGAAAGAAAAAAAAAAAAAGCTTATTCTATGCAAAAGCCTCCTTGTCTCTTCAGCCTGGCCCCAGCTTCCTGAACTCCCAAGATGACCTCACAGGGGAGGGTGGGACCGTCACACCAGCCCAGGGCCATACCCCTCCCTCCCCCCACAGAAAGGAACCCAACCCCCATGTCCAGGGGAGGAAACCTAGTGGGAGGTGGCAGGGAAGCCACCCACAGGCTTCTAAGTTTAGCCCAGTGCTCCAGACCACTCCCCTCACCCGCCTCCAAGGCCCAGAGCCAGGCATGACCTCATCCTTTTCTCCAGGACTCCACCCTGCCTGCCCGGGAGTCCTGCCTTTGCAGATAGGGGGCCAGCCTGGCAAGCACCCTGGAGAGATGGGACTCCAGGCTCACAGGGATCAGGAGAGAAAGACAGTAAGCCACTCATGTTGGAGCCTGTGCCCTTTATTCATGCCCCACACCAAGTACAGCCAGATGCAAGGCCCCTGCCCAAAGCAGAAACACCAGGGGTCCGGGACTCTGGGTTACACCCTCCAAGTCCCCTACCCCAGATACTCTCCTGTGAGCCAGAAGTGTATAAAGTGCTGGTGTGATGATCCTCTGGGGAAGGCCAAAGGGATCAAGAGCCCCACCCCTGGACCAAGGCAACAGGAGGAGGGACTGTGCTCTGGTTCCCAGAGTGCTGAGACGGGGCCTACGGCCAGGCCACCACCATCAGGGCTGGGGAAGCGCGATGCAGTCCTGGGCAGGAGGGAATTGGGAAAGGGAGCCTTCAGCAGGGATCCCTAATAGGGTGGGGCTGCTGGGGGCAGGGGGAGTTTCTGCACCCCTGTGAAGAGAGGTGGGGGAGGAGGGGAGGCTTGGGGATCTCAGAGAATGGGGCAGCCCCTCCGGCGCTTATTCTTGCGGACCTGGAGGCCAGCCCGAGTGGCCATCTCAAACACCTCCCGCACCCCCTCCTTGGTCTTGGCTGAGCACTCAAGGTAGCCAAAGGCACTGATCCGGTTTGCCATGTCCCGGCCTTCCTCAGATCGAACAGGCTCCTGGGGAGGTAGAAGGAGAGTGGTCAAAGGAAGCTGCTGGTTAGGTGCACCTCACCCATATTTGTAACAAGAACAAATATCTCCTCCAGCCATGACCCCACAAAGCATCCAAGCCCCGGCCGTAGATAGCTTCTAGGCTAGAGACCCAAGACTCCTATTTACCTTCAAAATTCTCCCCATCAGCCCTATACCCCACGGTACACTCTTCTCTTGCCTGAGTGAGGATCTACCATCTCCTGACTGACTTCCTGGCCTCTGTTCTCACTTTCTTCCAATCCATCCTCTATGGCTGCCAGAATCCTTTTTCTATCATGCTGACTCTGACCATATCTGCCCCCAGTTTAAAACTTTACCATAATTATCTTCAAAGAATAGTCTAGATTCCTTATCCTGACAGCTCTCCCTAATCAACTCGTCCTCTGGCTGGAAAGCCACTTACCAGGTCCCCAAATAAGCCAGCTCCCTCACTCTGGGCCTTTTCCCAGCCACTTAGAATACCCTCCGTTCCACATCCACAGCAGCCCACACACCTCCCCAGGTATACTCTGATGGCTCCACCTGCATACCTCAAGCAAAACATCTACTGTAAGAACCTGGTTCCCTGAGGGCAAGGATTTTCTCATTCATCTTAATAGCCCCAATGCCAAACAGTGGACAACAGACAAAATGCCAAGTGACCTTGGACAAGTCACCGTCCTCTGACAGTCTCATCGAATATTGGGTCAGACCCTAAGGGCCCCTCTGGTTCTCCCTCACCAGGGTGGGGGTGCCAGGGGGGTAGGAGGTGGATGCTACCGTCACTTCTAACATGGGGAGTCAGTAGGAGGGAGGCTCCTTCACCAGCCTGCAAGCCCTCAGAGGGCACCTTCCTCCCCAAGGCCTCCCAGCCTGGCGGCTGCACCCACCTGCTTCATCTTGGCCAGCTCTCTCCGGGTATGTTCATCTTGCCTCAGGTCCTTCTTATTCCCCACTAGGATGATGGGCACATTGGGGCAGAAGTGCTTCACCTCCGGGGTCCACTTCTCAGGAATGTTTTCTGCACAGACACGTCCCAACAGGGGTTGGTGCCTCCACTTAGGCTAGAAGGCTTCCCCTGGGTCGCCTTGTCTCCGCAGGGCAGAGTCTTAGAGGCTATTCAGCATGATAGTCCCTTTCACAGGTCAACCCACCCCCGCCGCCCTCACAGTACACACCCTTCCCTGAGCCCTCCAAGGGCCAGAGTCACCACAGGGAAGGAGGCTAACGGGGCTCCCTGGCACCCCTCCCACACAGCTTCTGAAGATGGCTGAAAGGAGCCAAGGCAAGAGCTCCCTCTGGTTGGTTCATTCCAAGGGATTCTCAGCCCCCTCCCTCCAACCCCCTCACCCAGGCTGTCGGGGCTGTCGATGGAGAAGCACATGAGGATGACGTCAGTGTCCGGGTAGGAGAGAGGCCGCAGGCGATCATAGTCTTCCTGCCCTGCTGTGTCCCACAGAGCCAGCTCCACCTGACACACAGGGCCGGTGCTTAGCTAGCCTGAGGGCCCCAGTTACACACCCCACACCCTGCCACCCAGAGGTCCTCTCTGAAATCCTGGTCCCTTAGGTTCACTGAACATCTACCTACTGAACACCTACTATGTGCCAGGGATAGTGCTATTCATTGTCACACAACATAAACTGAGTTTCTTAAATCCTGAGACAACAGCGTTTGATCTTTGTGCAGTTTGAGCTGCCATCAGGAGCGCCACTATTTTATTTAATACTCATAAAAACCCTTCGAAGGAGGCCGTACCATTATTTCCATTTCACAGCTGGGGGAGCTTAAACCCAGAGGCAAAGGGACTGGGCCCAGATTACACAGCCAGTGTGTAAAAAACCAGGAGGTTATCCAGATTTCCTAAGACTGCAGTTTCACTTCCTAACTTCCACTGGTTCCAGCAGGGAGAGTGAAGCAAGGACATGGGTGGATGGTGAGCACGGACATCCCAGGTCCATAAGTGATGGGGGCAGGCGTGGTTCCAAGGGGCTCTTCGCCTTTACCTGCTTGCCGTCCACCTCTATGTCGGCGATGTAGTTCTCAAAGACAGTAGGGACATAGACTTCTGGGAACTGGTCCTTGCTGAAGACGATGAGGAGGCAGGTCTTCCCACAGGCCCCATCCCCGACGATCACCAGCTTCTTTCGAATGGCAGCCATGGCTGGGGCTGGTAGGGAAGAGGCAGTGGGTATGTTGGGAAAAGCCATTAAGTCCACAAACACTTCTCGAGGGCCCCCAAGCCCTCCCTGGAAACCAAGGCATCCAGTGAAGGGAGAGGAGGGAGGGAAAGGGGCTTGCTCAGGCATGTTCTTGCCAAGAACCAAGTGGTCGGGCAACTGAGCTTGAAATTCCTAATCTCAAGGTCAGGGGCAGGTCTCCCCCATGGGTTAGAATACAGAAATGGGAGGTGGAAGAACCACCCACTTGGGAGCCAGAAAGCATGAGTTCTAATCTAATCCACTCCCCAACTGTGGGCCCCTGGACACCTAGAGGGGTGCTCAGGGACCAGTGACGTGTCCAGAAGGGCAAGCTTTTATCTATTCTACATATCAGGGTTTCAAGTCAGATGTATTTGTTACCAGGATTTCAATACTTTTTAAAGTTTAATAATTGTGAAGGTCCAATCTGGAACACACTGTCCCAAAGTCAGCACAAGTCATGCCTGCCCAGCGAAAAACGAAGAGTCCCTACCCATATGGGTGGGTAAGGGAAAGAATATTTATCACACCCCTAGGTGCCAGGCACTATGGTGGGCATTTGGACAAAAAACACCTCCCTCAGTCCCCAGAAGCCTGGAAGGTAGGTAGTGAGCTCCCCATTTTGACAAACTAGGAAAGTGAGATTCATTGAGGTTAAGACATGAATTCAGAGTTGTGGCAGGGATGGCACTCAAAGCAGGGCTGTGTGACTCTAGAGTCTGTTGCTTTTCTACATATCACCCCAGAGGTGGGAAGGAGAGCAGAGGGAGGGAAACCCAGACAGAGCGCAGCGGCAGCAGCCAGCAGGCTTCCCTGGCCCACCCTGTCCCGGTCCCCAGAGCCCCGAGTCACACAAAGGAGGCTCAGTCCAGGCAGTGCCCACAGCCCACATTCGGGCAGCCTGCCTTCCTCCCCCTGCTTCCTACTGGGCCTGGAAGCTACACTGGGTCACTCAGCCCCAGGCAGGGGACAATGACCACACTGTAGGGAGCCACACATCTACCACAGCAGAGCGACTGAGAATAATCCACTAGGGAATCACCTCCACCCACTCCCTGGAACAGCCCCTTCCTCCACTCTGTCCAGCTCACCCTGAGGCCCTGCCCACCCCTCCCTGTGACTCAGGGCAAGGAGTCAGCTTCCTGGGGTTTCCATGTGTCCCCTGCCCCCAACACACACCAAAGAGCATCTGCACAGTTCATCACACCTTCCCAGCTTCCCCGTGCCTAAGCTGAGCCTCACTTCCTCCTTCCCTGGGGAGAGGAGCTGACCTCCAGTCGGCTGGAGTTCCCAGGCCTACAGCCCAGGAGGAAGAGAGGGCGGGCTCTGGGCCTGAGATGAAGTCGAAGCTGTTGGGAGAAGCGGGGGCTGGAGCCTGTGCTGGGAGGAGCCCCCAAAAAAGAGACAAATGGGAGCCAGTCCCAGCACCAACCACACAGGGAGTAGTTAAAAAAGAAGGGGACGGTAACCTGATCTCTGCCCCAAACCTGGCTTTTTCTCAGTCCCACATCCTGTCAAACTAGGCTGAACTCCTTTACTCCCCACACACCACCACCACCTCACAGCCCTGCCTTGGTCTGCCTTTTAGGGAGGGAATACTCCAGCCCAAGGCAAGCTCTCTTCAGCAGTGGGATCCCGGGTGGCCTCCTCCTCCACACACACACATGCACAACAGTGGGATGGGGGCAAGTGGATATGAATCAGAGGGAATTTATAGGAGTTGAGTGCGCGGCCACACTCTCCCCATCACAACAGGGGCTCTCTCTGATACCCCCAAAACAGGCAAGAAGGCATTCACCCTGCCAGCAGATCCCCTCCAAAAATGGAAACCACCCTTCAGAAAAGGGGGTCTCAGGCTTCCCTGGTGGCGCAGTGCTTAAGAATCTGCCTGCCAATGCAGGAGACGGGTTCGAGCCGTGGTCTGGGAATATCCCACGTGCCGTGGAGCAACTAAGCTCATGCGCCACAACTACTGAGCCTGCGCTCTAGAGCCCGCGAGCCACAACTACTGAGTCCCTGTGCCACAACTACTGAAGCCCGCGTGCCCTAGAGCCCTGTGCTCTGCAACAGGAGAAGCCACTGCAATGAGAAGCCCGCGCGCGCACCGCAACTAGAGAAAGCCCCTGTGCAGCAAAGAAGACCCAACGCGGCCAAAAATAAATAAAATACATTAATTAAAAAAAAAAAGAAAAGGGGGTCCCCTGGAAATTCCACCCAGGTGACCAGCACCCTCACCTACTCCCACAGGTTCCATTGGTCCAACTGTGGGAAGACAGGCTGGGGTAGCCTCAACCTGGGATGGGCAGTATTGACGGAGGGATGGAGCGCATTCACCACTGGGGTGAATACCAATTGCTTAGGCATGAGTATGCCCACCCCAGGCAAGGCAGTTTAGGTGGCACCAGATGGTGGTGGGCAGAGGCCAGACTCCAGGGCAAGGGCATACATTAAATGACCTAGAGCCCCCCATCTCAATTAGAAGATGTTCCCTTCAGGCTCAGAAGAGTAGTTGGCCCAGGCCAGGCCAGGCCAGGCCACCAGGCCCAAGGCCAAGATGGCGAAAACAACAGCTCCCTGTGAGAGGCAGCCCCTGAGGAACTGCCCCACTGACCCTAAGAGGGGCAACCAAACCCCACACGGGGCCTGGGATGACCCTGGAATTTCTGGGGCCTTCCCTGGAATAAAACAGCTGCCGTCTCCTCAATCATTCTCTAGATTTCCAGATGAACCAGGTTCTGCTGTACCCTGCCCACCACCCCTGCGGTCTAGGGAAGAAATCAGATACCTCCTCCTCAACTTGAAAACCACACACACGCACACACGGGCTGTATCCTTCCCAATCTCCTGTACCTCCACTCCAGGCCGGCTCCAGAAACCATCTAGGGCGACGTCCGGACCCCCGGGGCAGTGGCAGCCCCCGCGGTCACACCCGCTCCTATTCCCGAGGTAGTGAGCTCCCCATTTTGACAAACTAGGAAAGTGAGATTCATTGAGGTTAAGACATGAATTCAGAGTTGTGGCAGGGATGGCACTCAAAGCAGGGCTGTGTGACTCTAGAGTCTGTTGCTTTTCTACATATCACCCCAGAGGTGGGAAGGAGAGCAGAGGGAGGGAAACCCAGACAGAGCGCAGCGGCAGCAGCCAGCAGGCTTCCCTGGCCCACCCTGTCCCGGTCCCCAGAGCCCCGAGTCACACAAAGGAGGCTCAGTCCAGGCAGTGCCCACAGCCCACATTCGGGCAGCCTGCCTTCCTCCCCCTGCTTCCTACTGGGCCTGGAAGCTACACTGGGTCACTCAGCCCCAGGCAGGGGACAATGACCACACTGTAGGGAGCCACACATCTACCACAGCAGAGCGACTGAGAATAATCCACTAGGGAATCACCTCCACCCACTCCCTGGAACAGCCCCTTCCTCCACTCTGTCCAGCTCACCCTGAGGCCCTGCCCACCCCTCCCTGTGACTCAGGGCAAGGAGTCAGCTTCCTGGGGTTTCCATGTGTCCCCTGCCCCCAACACACACCAAAGAGCATCTGCACAGTTCATCACACCTTCCCAGCTTCCCCGTGCCTAAGCTGAGCCTCACTTCCTCCTTCCCTGGGGAGAGGAGCTGACCTCCAGTCGGCTGGAGTTCCCAGGCCTACAGCCCAGGAGGAAGAGAGGGCGGGCTCTGGGCCTGAGATGAAGTCGAAGCTGTTGGGAGAAGCGGGGGCTGGAGCCTGTGCTGGGAGGAGCCCCCAAAAAAGAGACAAATGGGAGCCAGTCCCAGCACCAACCACACAGGGAGTAGTTAAAAAAGAAGGGGACGGTAACCTGATCTCTGCCCCAAACCTGGCTTTTTCTCAGTCCCACATCCTGTCAAACTAGGCTGAACTCCTTTACTCCCCACACACCACCACCACCTCACAGCCCTGCCTTGGTCTGCCTTTTAGGGAGGGAATACTCCAGCCCAAGGCAAGCTCTCTTCAGCAGTGGGATCCCGGGTGGCCTCCTCCTCCACACACACACATGCACAACAGTGGGATGGGGGCAAGTGGATATGAATCAGAGGGAATTTATAGGAGTTGAGTGCGCGGCCACACTCTCCCCATCACAACAGGGGCTCTCTCTGATACCCCCAAAACAGGCAAGAAGGCATTCACCCTGCCAGCAGATCCCCTCCAAAAATGGAAACCACCCTTCAGAAAAGGGGGTCTCAGGCTTCCCTGGTGGCGCAGTGCTTAAGAATCTGCCTGCCAATGCAGGAGACGGGTTCGAGCCGTGGTCTGGGAATATCCCACGTGCCGTGGAGCAACTAAGCTCATGCGCCACAACTACTGAGCCTGCGCTCTAGAGCCCGCGAGCCACAACTACTGAGTCCCTGTGCCACAACTACTGAAGCCCGCGTGCCCTAGAGCCCTGTGCTCTGCAACAGGAGAAGCCACTGCAATGAGAAGCCCGCGCGCGCACCGCAACTAGAGAAAGCCCCTGTGCAGCAAAGAAGACCCAACGCGGCCAAAAATAAATAAAATACATTAATTAAAAAAAAAAAGAAAAGGGGGTCCCCTGGAAATTCCACCCAGGTGACCAGCACCCTCACCTACTCCCACAGGTTCCATTGGTCCAACTGTGGGAAGACAGGCTGGGGTAGCCTCAACCTGGGATGGGCAGTATTGACGGAGGGATGGAGCGCATTCACCACTGGGGTGAATACCAATTGCTTAGGCATGAGTATGCCCACCCCAGGCAAGGCAGTTTAGGTGGCACCAGATGGTGGTGGGCAGAGGCCAGACTCCAGGGCAAGGGCATACATTAAATGACCTAGAGCCCCCCATCTCAATTAGAAGATGTTCCCTTCAGGCTCAGAAGAGTAGTTGGCCCAGGCCAGGCCAGGCCAGGCCACCAGGCCCAAGGCCAAGATGGCGAAAACAACAGCTCCCTGTGAGAGGCAGCCCCTGAGGAACTGCCCCACTGACCCTAAGAGGGGCAACCAAACCCCACACGGGGCCTGGGATGACCCTGGAATTTCTGGGGCCTTCCCTGGAATAAAACAGCTGCCGTCTCCTCAATCATTCTCTAGATTTCCAGATGAACCAGGTTCTGCTGTACCCTGCCCACCACCCCTGCGGTCTAGGGAAGAAATCAGATACCTCCTCCTCAACTTGAAAACCACACACACGCACACACGGGCTGTATCCTTCCCAATCTCCTGTACCTCCACTCCAGGCCGGCTCCAGAAACCATCTAGGGCGACGTCCGGACCCCCGGGGCAGTGGCAGCCCCCGCGGTCACACCCGCTCCTATTCCCGCCACTTCACCGGCCCGGCGGGGGGGATTCCCACCTCAACCCGGACTCGGGCCCAGACCCACACCCAAGCCTAGGTTCACAGAGGGCCGCCAGGCCTGGAAGCTAGAGCGTCTGCGCTGGGGCTCCCTCGCGGAGACCCAAGTTGCCGTCTCTCCCCTCGCCCGGCCGGGCAGGTTCCGGGAAGCCGGGAGGAGAAGGGAACTGACTCCGACTCGGACACCAAGAGGCGAGAGGCCCTGCGGGTCAATTCCCGGGGCCCCTCACTGCAGCCCGGGAGGGCAGGGAGGGGCCGAGCCGGCCCGACCCCCGCACCGCCCAGACGCCGCGTACGAGGGAGGGCAGGCGGCCCGCGCTTGGACCAAAGCCCCTCCCCGGCCGGCGCCCCGAGCTCCTGCCAGGCGGAGAAGTGGGGAGGTGCTCTCCTGCGGATGAGTGCCCAGGACGACCCCGCCGCCCAGAGCCCCAAGCCGGGATACCTTCCGCTCCGCCGCTTCCAGCTGCGCGGCCGGTGCCGGAGGCAGAGACTGACCCGAGGGGCACCGCCCCGCCCTCCTCCAGCGCCGCGGCGGGGAGGGGCGACTCGCGGGGAGGGGCGACTCGCGGGGAGGGGCGACTCGCGGGGAGGGGCGGGCTGGGCGGCCCTTGGCTCCGCCCGCCCACGGCCCCCACTCACGGCCCCCACTCACGGCCCCAGAGGGTCGCCCAGCGAGAGTCCCCGGCGTCTGAGGGAGATGCTGGGACTGTGGAGGAGTGGGCAGCGGGGCGAGGCGCGGCGAACGGGACCCATGAGGACTCTGCCTCTGCCCCACCTTCCAGCTCCTAGTGGCGGACCGGCGTCGGGAAAGTTGAGAGGCGCCCGGGGTGGGGTCAGGAAAGGGCCGCTGCTGCCCTCGCGTGGCCAACCGGCCACCCGCGCCTACATCACCTGGGGCTTCGCGGGAGGCGGGACTGGAAAAGACGGCTTCGGGGAAGCCCGAGGAGAAGGCCGCGGAAGATGCCCACCCTCTGCTCCTAGGATCATTGCGGAGTAAGTACAACCCACCATAACCCCCCCAGGCCTGGAGACCTTTCGGAACCTCTGAGATTCAGGGCACTTGGTTCCACCTCACAATTCCCTTCCTTCCCCCTACCTGGAATTTCCAACTCCTACCCATCCTTCCACCCTGGAATCTTTCTGGATTCCCAGCTGGGAATTCAGTTGCCACCCCCGTTGTATTATTTCTGTGCCTCTAGGGACACCTAGCCGGGCCTGACTTGTGCGTTGGGTATTTACCAACAGGTGTATCTTCTTCCCTGAAAGGTACCTGAGGAGGTGGATGGAGGATGAGGAAGTCTACTCACATTTTATTAGCTTGTGCAGGGCACACTACATAGCTTCTAATAGTCATCACAGATCTCTAGGTTAAGTGTACCCATCCCCTTTTGCCTGTAAGTAAACTGAGGCTTGGGGGGCGAGTTAAGTGGCTTAACTTAAGTGGCTTAATTTTGCCATTTGTATGTGGCAGAGCAAGAACTCAGATAGTCAGGCCTGTCTGGCTCCAAAGCTGGTCTCTGTCTCTACTGCCCACTGTGATCCTCCAACCTGTCCCTTCCCACTGTCTGGCACAGTGTGTGGCACATAATAGATTTTCAACAAATACTTGCTGAATGAATGAATGTTAGAAGTCATACAGACTTTAAAGATCTGAAGAGCAACCCACACGTTTGCTAAATGACGAAACTGAGGTCCAGTGCAGTTTGGTCCCAGGCCTCTTAACTGGCTCACTAAACTGAGCTATGTGCTCAGTTCAGATCAGTTTCTGCTTTCAAAGAACTTACAATCTAAATTCCAAATGCAGACAACTTAAAGATAGGTAGTAGTTATTGAACCCTTATTACATGGACCTGGCTCTACATACATAAACTACTTTAGTCCTACAACTACCTCCTGAGGTAGTACTGTTATCTCCATTTTTCCAAAAAGCAAATTGAGGCTCAGAGAGATTGCAAACCTAGTGCTGGGTTTGGCACCAGGACGCAAACAGCAGGACTTTCAAGCCCCTGTTCCTTAAATGCTACTCCGTACCAACTCCTCATATAGACAGTTACAGTACAAGAGGCGAGCGCTGTAGTGGGGGCATGCGTGGGCTGTGGAAGGACAGGTGAAGCGTTCAGGATGAGGTGATGTGTAGATTTTAAATGAGTTGGAGCTACTCCAGACCCACAGAGTTGTGGAAACCACAAGGCGGGCTGGGGCAGAAGACAGGGCTGGAGAAGGAAGCAGTGGCCAGATATGAAGGTCCTTATATGCCATGCTCAAGAGTTGAGTGTCAATTTTGGTCTAGGTGCAGTAAGGAGCCACCAAAGTATTTTCTCAGAGGAATCACCAACTCAGATTCACCCTGTGGAAAGGGCTCCCTGGCTGCTCTGCATATTATATATTGGGGAAAGCAGGGGAGTGGCTTGGAGACAATTAGGAGGCTAATATACTGAAGGACTAAGGTAATGACTGTAGGGATGGACAAATAGAAATATATTTAAGGGACTTCCCTGGTGGTCCAGTGGTTAAGACTCCGCACTTCCCATGCAGGGGGCACAGGTTCAATCCCTGGTCCCCCGGGGAACTAGAATCCGCATGCAGCACAGCCAAAAACTAAAAAAAAAAAATGTTTTTTAAAGAAATATATTTAAAAATATATAATCAACAGTATTTAGTGATTGATTAGCTTGATGAGGAAGAAACGGAAGCCAAAGGTGCTCAACTCCAAGAATTCTAATTTGAGTAGCTGAGCTGGTGCCCCCTGAGATGATGAGCGGGGAGAGGACATATTTGTGGGGGAAATAATGAATTCAGTTGGAGGAATGTTGAGTTGAAGTGCCTGTGAGATGTCTAGGAGATGTTCGGGAGACAACTGGGACAGTTTTTAGTCAAAGAAAATAAAGACACACACATTTATCCATCTGGTTTATTTGCCAAGGGCTAAAATTTTGGATCTAACTGGCACCCCTTCTTCAGTTCAATTGCCACTAAAGAAGGTCAAGGAGACAACTTCAGAATTTGGGTTGGGAGAGGGGTAAGCATGGAGAGGCTGGGATGGTGGTGGGAGGTTCGGGGCTGAGCCCCTCAGGAGTAGCTGCCTGGCCCTCCCAGGGGGATGACAAAGACCGAGATGTCATCCCCGGAACCCAGCTTGTTGTTGGGGAGACGCCAACCACGGTCCCGGGGGGTGCCCCGGGCCCCCAGGACCAGAGCTTGGGCCAGAGCTGTGTACCTGTCAGAAGCACATGTGCACATTCATGTACCAACATGTATATGGGAAGATGGATACACAGGCCCTCATGTGGGTCCCCAAGCATTTCTTCCCTGTGTCCCTTCCTTCCCCATCGTCATCCCCTTGCCGCCATACAACCCCTACCTGCTGGGGTCATTGGGCTCATAGGCTGACAGCACCCTGTCCACAGTGGCAGCTACCTCACAGTCACTGGTGACATCCCACAGCCCATCTGTTCCCAGGACTAGCACGTCATCTGGGCAGTGCTCATACTGCGTCAGGTCATACACTCGTACCTGGTGGGGAGAGAGGGTGCAGAGGGAGCTGGGGATAAAGCGACCTTGGGAGAAAGCTAGCCTGAGATGCCCAGAGCAGGGAAGGCTAAGGAAGCTCCCATGTGGCTCACCTCAGGAAAAGACGAGAGGAAGGGCTTGATGGGCAGGGTAGAACTGCAGACCCTGAGGTTGTGGTCTCCCAAGCCCCGGGTCACCCCAATGGTGGCCATCATTCGAGCCTAAAGGAAATGAGGAGGGGACACTACTATAGCCTTCTCCCAGTCTCTCCGGGACCGTGGACCCTTTCCACCCCTACCCTCGGGTAGAACCTCCACCTCCCTAGACAAGTTGTGGTGGGTCCTCCTGCCCTCTCCCACCTCTACCATGGAGTTTACCTTTTTGCCCTCCCCACAGACCAGAGGAAACCTGAGATCCTCCAGCTCGATCTTTTTGTAGGCCCTGGGGAGGGGGGAGTAGAGGAGGCATCACCCAGGCATCAAAGTCCCTCTACCCTAGGAGCCACACCCCTTACACAAACCCCTTAGAAGGGCCACATTCCCCAGCTCCCAGCCTGGCCCAGCCTCCAGCTTCCACCTTGCTGCTGGCGAGGGACTGGTTGTGTTGCCATGGAAACGGGCCCCAGCTCTGAGGGAAGTGTTACCAGCCAGTCATGTTCTGGTCCCGGTACAGCATCCTCTGCCCCAGCTCCTTAGGCTGAACTCTGCGGGGGAACTCAAGGTGGGTGAATTCACCACCCAGCAGCTCTGGTTTCAGGAAGCCCTGGGGTTGGGAGCGGCCAGACAGAGCAGAGGGCCAGGGGGCATTAGGTTTACAGTACACCCTGGTGTAGAGGTGATGTTAATTATAGCAGACCCTTAAATGGAGTTTACTGTGTACCATGCACTGTTCTAATATTAACATATATTAGCTCATTTAATCCTCACAACAACTTTTAAGGCAGGAACTCTTGATTTATGGAGAAGTTCAGGGAACTGTTGAAGATCACACAAAGTACTCAAACCAGGATTCAATCCCAGGCAGCCCATCTCCAGAGCCATTGCTTTAAAGCACTAAGCTATCCTGCCCCTTAGGGGCCTTTGCTGTTTCCTTCCCCCACTCTGACTGCACTTCCTTCCTCAGTTGGGGCCACAGTGGAAGGCACTGGAGCAGCCCACGCTCTTTCCTGCCACATCCTCCACACCAGCTCAGCCCTGCACTCCATAGTCTGTGGAGTGGCCTTCCCAGTAAGCTCCCAGTAAGGAGCGGTCTGTCTGTGTGGTGAGGGTCGGAGAGTCCTTGGGACACAGGGTACAGAGAAGCACAAGATTAGTAAGGAATGGGAGTAGGGAGTTTAGTTCCTACTTACAAGCATCTGCAGACGCTGGCGCTCAGTCTCCGGGGTGAACTCCCGGGACATTGGAATGATTTCTCCATTCCGGACAATGATGGCTCTGCCCAGAGAAACAAAAGGTTTGGGCTCGGCTCTGCAACCCCCTCACATAAAGAGTTCCAAAAAGACAAGGCCCTCCCTTAGAGTCCCTCACCCAGACCCCCAGTTTTCCTCCCCTCATAGCTATTTCAGGCCCTTCCTTATGTCTGTGATCCCTCCTGACCCGTTCCAATCTCTGAATGTTAACACCCCCCATGTCACTCTCTTCTATTCCCGCGTCCCAGAAGCTTGACCCCTCCCCCACACAGCCTTTTTCAAAGCTCCCACCCCATACCTGCTGTCACCTGCATTGGCTACGTACACCTTGCCTAGCAAGTAGACCACAACCAGTGCACAGCAGCCCCCCTCCACTTGGTGGCCACGCCGCTCCCGGGCCATCTGCTCATCCTGCCATATGAGGAAGGGTCAAAGGGGGTGGATGAAGAAGAGGCTCCAGACACACAGCCACCCGCCCACATCTGCAGAAATAAACTGGCCCAGGCAAGCCACACTGGTGGACAGTAGGGAAGACATCGGTATAACACCCACTTCTCCCTCCCTCTGA